TACATATGTGTGAGTGTGTGTGCATATATATTCTATGAAAGAGAAGGAGGCCATAACTGTCCATCTGAGCTGTTTACCTGATGTTTCAGGTGCACGCTGGGGTGGAATATGATAGTAAATTGCACCACAAACGGCATAAAAGACCGGCGTTCTCGGGAGACCTTGCGGTGCTGATCCAGTGTGATGACACTGGGCTTGAATGTGGGGTGCAATTGCACCTGAACGGACGCCACACTCGCGCACTCGCCTGTAGAAATGGGAGGGGGGGGGGGGGGGGGAAGAAAGAAGGGGGTGTTGGGTTTGCTTGTAAGGAGGGTAGGTTGCAAGGACCAAAGGAAAACGAAGGTCTAATGGTAATCTTTCTTGATTAGAGTAGGACAGCATTCTGGACAATGATTGCCCAACAGAGAAAACGATACACCAACTCAAATGATTTCAAGCGCTTTACGTTCTATGAAGTCGACCGAGGCAAAGACACTCGACGACTGCGATGTATATTTCACGTCAACATACCAGACAGTAGGACAAAAAACTATACCAATCGAAACTGGAGGATTCATGTGTAACCAGGGTCAGACATAGCATTTATAATATACACAGAACATTGCACACAGTCACATCTCGCATTGATAGACACATGCAGAGACCCACACGTACACAGTTTTGTACTTAACTTATGCACAAATAGGCATTAATTCAGATCATAGAGTGCAACAAATCCGCACACACACCTATCGCATCCGGTCTATCAGTGACAAACACGCACCACGCGTGTGGTAATCGGGCATCTCCAGTAGATCTATGCGTGTTGCCCACAAACATGATTGTGGGCGGTGACGGCACCAGCACTCCACTCCGCCCAGCCAGCCGCGGGAAATCAGTAACGTCCAATGACCACGCGTCGTTGTCATTCGGCGCCTTTTGATTGGTCGCGTGCGCGGGGTTGTCCTTATCCGCGGATTCTGCGAGCGTAGGGCCAAACTTTGATCTTCAGCTAGTGTTTCCGGTGGTCATTATATGTTGGTTGACCTCTAGACGGCATACATTCTGAGATGCCATGTCTGACATTTCAACAACATCGCGCACGCTTGAAACCTTTGCTCATCTCATCGTGTGCCATGAAACAAACCCGAGCACGGAACGGCTCGACTACGAGAAACAACGCACATACAAAGTCGAGCACTGACACATGCAGACGCCTATACAACACGGAACAGTATTGCACTTAAACATAAGTGTCCTATACCGATGGTTGGGGCTGTCTTGTCCTCCACCGTTTTCGGGCCCGCCTGTCTGTCGCCAGAGCTACACGCTGCACCCATTTCACCATCGACAACCTGCCTCGGGGTCTGAGGGTTACCTCCTCCATGCACCTGTTTCTTTTCACCAAACTTAAAACATGTCTGTCCCTTTTCACTTCGCTTAGTACCGGTACTCTTTCCAGGAGGCTTGGCCACTGCCTTGGGTTTAGGACGCACTAGCACATCGTTTAGACGCTCGCTGGGTCGTTTGTATGCGTCTCCGATTAACTCAGCGCTATCCTGTATTGAATAATTGGGGAACGCGTTTGTACTTTGGACTTTGGGTCTCAGGCTTTATGGTGTAAAAAATAGGGTCTTCACAAACATGCATACATTCTTCAGACGCATACATATAACCTGAACAAGTCTTTCCTACCTACAGACGCTGGCTGAGGATGGACTGGGGGTTTCACGGGTGATGGTGACTGCTCGACAACAGAAGTGTGATCTTCCTAACGTGGAGTACACATTTGCATAAAATCCATAGCAGCACAATAACACTTTACACATACATACACCCTGTATACACATACATACACACTGTACTTGCATACATACACACTGTACTTGCATACATACACACTGTATGTACATATATACAAACTGTATGTACATACATACACTCTGTAAATACATATATACACACTGCATCTATAAACATACACTCTGTAAGTACATACATACACACTGTACTTACATACATACACTCTGTATATACATACATATACTCTGTACATACATACACTCTGTACATACATATATACACTCTGTATATGCATTCATATACCCAGAACATACCACCTCCGGTGTATGCAGGCTGGCTGAGGATGGGTTGGATAGTTCGCGGAGTGTGTCTGTGTCCAAATTCAGGGGTGCGAGCCCACCACCAGCAGCCCTGGACCATTTGGAGATGAACGGCTCAATGGCCAGCTCAGCTGCCTGGAGTTCTGATAATCCGCCTGAGAACACACAGGTATAGATGTGTGAGTGAGCGTGCAATAAAACGCA